GAGAACATTTCCGATGGAAGGTAGGGTAATAGTGTCCCAAAGATAGGGTAAGTATGTCCATGGTGACAGGAAACCGGTCTCCATGGTATAGTAACATGACTTACTTAGATAGGGTAAACTCACCCGGCCCTCTGACCTATCCTTAGGCCAGAGCGGGACATTGTCACCTTACTACCACTACTTAGGTACTCCTATTCCTTTAAGTACCTTCTGTTCTTAGGGATATCCGGACCATCAGATATCCCTCGGATATCCATTTGCATAACCCCCTAGTCTACCATCTGACCTCTTGGTCTTATGTATGGGCACAGACATAGGTTACCATAGCTCTATAATGTAGGGTCGTTACACTCTACCATTGGTAGTAAGTCTGTATTTGTCCGTGAGACCGCTGCATGATGCTATATGCCTATAGGTACCTTGCAGTAGCTTTATGGCTATTCCAGTTGGGACAATCCTCTGCCCTTTGGCTGGGAACGTGACTTCTTCATTGGCATACTGGTTATGTCCTGCTACCTTCTGGGATCCTCTTGTTAGTATCTTAGCCTTATGGCTTAATCTTTGGACTTTGATCTCTCAATCCCTTCCCAGCTGGACTTAGCTGAACCTCGCATCTAAGTTCTCTTCTATTGCTTCTTCCTCAGGGGTTACATATATGACCAGTGAACTATTGAGACACCATATCGTATATTGTTCACTAGTAAATGCAACTTTTCCTTCTTCCCAACCCATTGCTGGATTGTGTTGTCTTAACCATGGCATTCCTAGGATACTCTTATGGTGTTGCAGATTTGCCACTTGGAAAGTTGCCACTTCTCTATAGTTTGTAATTTCTATTGATACTTGCCTGGTATGGGTGATAGGTCCCATGGCACTGGGTTTTCCATCCGCTAGGTAAATCTGCCTTTGCTTTTTTGCTTTCTTGCTCCTCAAGTAATATTTATTGCATATTTCTTTGTCAATAAAGTCTTCTGTTGCTCCTGAGTCAATTATTGTATGTATTGTCGTAGCTTGTTTTTTGTCGTTGTATATTTTTGTTTTGATGATGATATGATCATTGTCATTTTTCTTTGTGTCTGTCCTCAAAATCGTGTAGTAGTTGGCCAAGGAGCTGGATTTGTCTTTCGGTAGATCCCGCAGACCATCTAATGCTGGAGACCTTCATCTTTTACCAGTTCTTCATATTCTTCTTTACTCTCTATTTCCCTTAGATTGCTGCATGGTTGGAACCCAGTATTTGGTCTAGGGTTCCTAAAGTCCCTTCCTTGAGTTGCTTCTATATTCATCGGTCATTTGCAGTCCTTAATCATGTATCCCGATATGCTACATTTTAGATATAAGTTATTGTTCTGTTAATGAAAATATTCATCCTTTGAGAAGTTAAGTACCGGTTTCTGCCTGGTTGCATCCAAGTCCATCACATCGCCTCCTTGGGTGGTAGTTTGGAAAGTTCCATTCTGAATTCTGGGTAAACCCTAGTTCCTTATATTCATGTTGTTGACCTGGGTCGGGGTTGACTGGTTCCCCTGAACCCAGTCTAGTTGTCTGAATTAAATTCTTTTTCGAATCACCTAGTGGGCCATGGCTTCGGTGGTTGCAAATCTCTCTTCGCTATATCTCCATGCATCCTGATAAACTTTCTTCAAACATATCATGAACAACCTCATGGCTGACACTTCATCACATTCCACATCCTATTTAAGTAGTCTGAATTTGTACCAGTAGTCCGTAACATTTCTTCCACCTTGATAGATTTTTTCCAATTTGTTTTGTGCCAATTGGCTCAGTTCCATGGCTGTAAACTGGGCCTCCAATACTATGATCTTGAAACTGTTCCAATCGGTCCATAGTACTAGTGTCTGACTGACCACTATGGGTGTTACCCATTGTAGGACTGCTCCTTCGAGTAGGGTCAAAGTCTATGGTATCTTATTGTCGTCGTTTCCTCATATCCATCCTACTATGTCGAAGCAGGTAAGGAGTTGTACCATGAATCCTCATAGTTTGCTTCTTTCTCTATCATATCTTAGAGGTGTCTTGACTTTTGGTCTTTGACCTTCTTCTCAGATTACTTCTTGAATCATTTGTTCCACTTGTTTATGTGGAATCATTGCCAGAAGTGCCGGTCCAGCTGGCGGCGGACCTACAGGGGGTGCTGGTCCTGACATTCATTCAGGTCTTGGGGTATCTGGTACTTCTTCTGCATTTGAGAGTGTAACCGGATCTGATATAACTGGACTTGCAGTTCTTACCGATTGTGGACTTGCTTCGCTTAATGCTTCATTGAGTCTTCCTAGTCCTAAACAATTGTCTTGGAGGTTCAAATCCCCTTCTCTGTCTCTGTTGAAAGGATCTGTGGTGTAATCATTAAGTGTTGCATTGTAGACACGTTCTAATGTTAAGAATCCTACTGGGTGTGGGGAAGGTGCGACAGGTAATGTTTCTTACTTAGTAATAAAGTAATAGTTCTCAGGCCGTTGCCTATGCGATACTTGATATTTAAGTCCTTTGACTGCTATCTTATTGCACTTATCATTTCAACTTTCTTTAAGTCCTTGTTTAGGACTTAATCATTAGATGTGGGAGGAAAGACAATTCTGGAGCTTCTTAAGATAAATCTTAAAGAGTGTAAAGGTGGGTTTTATTTGTAAAAATATAAGTGTAGGAAATAAACTAAAAGAATGTGTGAAGAGCTCATACTCAGGGCCCTAGTGACTCTTTATATAGTCGCTCTTCACCTAGTATGACTCATATCTTATGTCATACAAACCTTGTAGCTCATAACCATAAGTCATGTGAAATCCATCAGCTGACTCTTATGAGTCACCGTACAACATTCCTTAAACCAATCAAAACTCAATAACCAAATCAGGTGTACAACTTGTATCACCTGAGTGAAACCCATGACTCATTGATTGAGTCATGTGCAAAAATCATAACATCGTGTGACTCACAACTATGAGTCATGAACAGGTAAACATAATACCCAATGGCGTACTAGGATGTGTCATGTGTAATCCAACATACCTATAGCTTAGAATCCCGAGCTATGTAAAATCTGCCTTGCTTAGTTACAGTTTATGACACGTCTTTACTCCTTAAAGGCTGGTACTATAGCCATCAGTTCCGCATTACAAATGTTATAGTTGCATTCAGTAGGGCTGTGTTTGTAGGAGTAAAATGCTACTGAGTAGAGGATCTCAATATTATCTTCTTGGGATATGAGGCCAGAGGAGACAAAGCCAAAGTCTGATGCATTAGTCTGAATAATTACCTCCTTCTTAAAGTCAAAGTACAGCAGAACTGGAGCATTAGTGAAACCCTTCTTCAACTAAGTGAAGGCCTTTTAGCATTCATGGATCTACATAAATGACTTGCTCTTCTTAGTGAGCATGGTAAGAGGTTGAGCCAAGTGGGAGAAGGTATGAATAAAACAACAGTAGAAGTTTCTGAAATCTAAGAAGACACTAACCTCAGGTATCCAATCAGGGATAGGCCAGGTTGTTACTATTTCTACTTTGATATTATTCATAGGAATACCCTTCATGGTAATTATAAACCCTAGGTACTCAAGTTAATAGACATGGAACTCTTACCTCTGGAATTTGAGTTCAAGTTTGGCATCCTGCAAAGCCTTTAAAACCCCTTATATATGTTTATTTTTTATTCTATCTTTTTAATATTTTCCCATTCAAGTTATTTGTCTTTGTTTTTGTAGTTATTTTTATATCATTATAAATACCTATACACATGGCAATTATATTCACCAATACAGTACAATATAACTATTTACTACTCCTACTGTCCAAACAAATACTAAGAATTTCCCTTTCTTAACTATTTTAATAAATCTATTACCTACCTTCCAGGTGATTTCCAAATATATATATTTTATTTACACTACCTCGTTGCTGTCAGAAATTACTTTTACCTATCTTTATATTGGACTACCAGGTAGTCAGTAGAGCATTGTTGGATTACCCAGCCTTAGGTGCCGTTCAAGTTTGAAGAAAATTGTGGGACAACATATGTTTTGCATCCAAGTAGAAAGTTTTCACACATCAATATCAACCTAAATTTTGTTATTAGAATAAAAATAATCTTATACACTTATTTCATTGGTTCTCCACTATATTCCTCTACCTTTTGGAAACATAGATATCATTTCTACTTCTCCAGTTAAATTAAGTATATCTGGAACCTGAAAATATACTAGTTTCTACACCAAACAATCCCTGTCTGACAGTGCTGTAGGAGGTAATTTGGAATCCAAACACTTATGGATGGGGAATAATTTGCCAAGAACTTTCTAAAACCTCTGTAGGTAATTTCCTATGGTATATGAAGCTAGCTATGCAGTGGTTTTTTGAAGCAGTTGACGATTATTCCGAATACGCCGTTTTTTTTGGTGGCGAATGCTGTTGTCCCACAATTTTCTTCACGCGACTGGGTGTTGGGCTGAGATTTTCGTTGCAACGTGAGGTGCTATTTGCACCTCGGGTCCGTTGAACCCGCCGGAAGCACGCCTTCACCTCCTTATGCGAAGTCCCACCGACATCAATTTGAAAAAATATAAGCTGATTGAATACTAATCAATAGGTCAAATTTAAGCCTAAAATAGGGTGGGTCGTTGATTCCGATTTTCCTTTTAAACTTCTCAGGGATCACCCGAGATCCACTTCGAGGGTGCAATAAGGGTATATATCGGCAGGATGGGTTAGAATTGGTGGAGACCTCCATGAGATGCGGTTTGGATGGCTTACCGGATGATCTGCGAGTGCAGGAAGGGGTGGAGGAATCACTGGGAATTTTGTTCCACGAGAATTGTTATCTCCCTCGTACATTGTTCCGGCCCTTTTTTTCACCCCATATGTTCATTCAACCTAAGGTGTTCAGTTGGGCGTTACTACCATAAGTGGAAAGGGTGGAGTCTAAGCAGACAGGCATTTCTCAGATAGTCTATTATTTATCATCAATTTTGTGGGAAGCTCACATAGTGATTAATTGTTTCAGGTCACTTCCAGGTTTCATGTCAAAAGTAACATATTTAGCGCGAAAACAAATAAAAAACGAGCATACCACCTCCTCCTTAGAGATGATAATAATTCGCCTTAACATCCTGATATTTAGTCCCATCAATTTCGAACTCAAAAACTAGAGTAGCCGATTGAATTTTCATCAATAGGTCGAATCTGATCCTATAGTACGGGTGGCCGTCCAGTCCGATTTTCTTCGTAAACTTCTCTTTTGGGATCACGCTGGGATCCACTTCGAGGACGCAAACTTGGGATACACCTGCAAGGAGGGTCAGCATGGGTTGTGAATCCCGTGGGGTGTGGTCTGGATGACTTACAACCCGAGTTACTAGAGTCCGGGGGGTCAGGGGCATCGCTTGATAAGAGCGGTATTTTTATTGAATCACTGATGTCGTCAAGTGAAGTGCGATTAACAAAAAAAGCGTATCTAACGGGATCATTCTCTTGAACATCATCACCCTAAACCATGTTACCATGCCATAGAGGAAAGAATAGCTGGTAGTATAGGTTCTACCTTGGTGATGTACCACCGCATGCGTTTCCTACACATGTACCCTCCATCGTGGGGGTCGACATAAGCGTCCAGAGGGGAATGAACCCCCATTATGAACGGCACGCTGCATGCGTTGCCGTAGCTTTTTGTAACCTTACGAGTACGGACCATTTCTCCCTCGAGCCCTCTCATCACCGCACCTCGAACGACGGCGGTCCAACTGCCATCCATTAGCTTTGAAGAGTGTGGAGAAGGAAACACTTCATCAAGTCAACTTACGCGTTAACTGGCTGGAGAATTGATATTTTCCTGTCATCATTTATCCTGACTTCCGCCTGGAGGCGGTTGCGTAGATATTCGGATTCCCCGAATCCCCCGACAAGGATTAAGGCTTTGACGTGGCGCCTGTGGCGAGAAACAATATTCTGGGAAGGTATTCCGAGGCGTAACCATTCTATATCCTCTGATGAAAGATTCGACTATGGGTGAAGCATCAGTTGCAATGGCCCATAAAAGTTCAGTCCCATCTCATACCTTCAATTTCTCGACTTCATTCACCTGTTGTTGTACCAACTGAACAACCTTCTGCACTACAGGATCAAATATTTTCCTCATCTCCTCCCTTTCTATCACAAACATTCCATCCTCAATACCTGCCGTGCTGTCATCTGCTATACCGGGAATGGGGCATGTGGAAATATCCTCATCTTCAGAATCGGTAAAGTTTCGTTTCAAAGTATCGTTAAACTCATTCATCATAAACGCTCTTCCCTCGGGCTTCATCTTGTCAAATCTGGAAAGCCCCGTTACCCACATGATCTAAAAGGAGATGATTCCGGTACTGACCTGCTGCCGATACGATCTCTAACCAATTGTTCGAAACGTTCGTTGAGGACTGTTGACCCGCACATCGCCCCAGTACCTTCAACACACTCTACTACCTCTAACTTGGGAGATTTTCTTGTGATGGTATAAGATATGACGTCCTGCTTTCCGTGAGCTGCCCTCCCGCCATATCCTCGCAGCTCTCACTGAAAAAAATGAAAAAAGTCTTACCACTGTCCCGCCCCCGCAATCCGCGACGATGAAAGTATCACCAACCTAACAAATTTTGATGTTGGCCAAAAAAAAGTAAGTTCCATCTGTATGCGAGGGTTACCTTGAGGTCGTTAGGCTCGATTTCTTTCAAGCAACAGACTGCAGCTGCTTCCGGCTCTGAAATCAAACGAATTGATTTTTTCCTTCCGAACCCTGCACGTTCGGCTGCTTGGAGGGTTAGGTTCTTTGCAGCGTCGCTCCACACCTATGGGATATATAAGCTTGACGGAAGCTACAAGTTATTAAGACAATGGATACGTTACCGCAGGAACTGTGATAACAAAATCAAGGGGTGAGACTTCAACTATCTCTGGTCCAAGGGCGCCCTCCAGGTGTTCGATCGTGCGCTTGTATAATTCGGACATGTAATCAGTCACAACATCAACTGGCTTCTTCCCATCAGGTATCAACTCCTTTGTCCGGGCTAAAGGTGAATTTTTGGCGTTCGCAAGAGAATATTTCGTGGGATCCAGGAGAAGCTTAAACCAGGAGAGTCTCGACTCTTTGTTGGGGATTCCAAATCCCCATTTCACACCAGACTTCGTGTACGCTATCTCGCTAGGTACTTTTCCAGATGTCCTCTTTCTCTATAAACACGTAAGGCTTTAGAACGCAATGGAGGATTAAACATTCAAAATTACCGAAGCGACCCATCTATCAATGACATTGATCTTTTCAGGAGTGGAGGTGTGCGCCTAGGGTATAAATTTCAGAGATTAGAAAACCACAGGAATGTTGAGGGAGAGGGCTGAATTACCCAAGCTATACCGGAATATGTGGTTCCAAAGTCTATCCCGATCTTAATCGAGTTTAAACCCGATAGTTGGCTCATCCTATCCTTTAAGTTAGAGGTCTTCTGTATATAGACGCGGTTTTAGTAGAAAAGGGTGTAATAGTGAGGATTATCTGTTCCAGGGTGAGAGTTTGCACGGTGGACGGGAGGGTGAAACCAAGAGCATGATTTATATGTACGTTTTCTCCCGACCACGTTATGCTAGGGTAAGGGAGGCTGAATAAGCGTGAGTCCGGGGGGACAGGCTCTCGTCACAATTTCACCTGGTATGACGGGATAGGCCAGTACTCGAGTACAGGGAGTACTTTACAGTACCGCTGCGGTTGGCTAGAAAATCAGGCCTACAATGGTATCATGGGACCCTCTATTGAATCGCTTTTCGCTAATGCATAACCTTCACTCGTTACCAGTTCTAATACAGCGTTATCACTGTTATGGTTATCATTACCACCAAGCGCCTAATCAAGGCTGCACCTGGGAGCCCACCCCTTGTTCATACCGTAATATTCGTACAGACACCAACCACAGAAGTGCATTTACTGCCGCCTAACTTTCAATTTAGCCTATATCGAGTGACAGACAGGGAGCTCAATAAAATCGGGGATTCCATGCTTCATCGGAAGTTGCGGCGGGTAGACATCATTGGTTGTTATATTTGTAATTCTCATGTGTGTGCTGGGCCACCATAGCTACGCCGAGGCCCTGAAAAGAGGGACTTCCCCTTCACACATCACCAAGAATACAAGTCCCTCATCGTGACCATACTTCTAACATGCAAATACTCATGACTGTTAGGCGCTGGATAACGGTAATATAAACCCGATCAAATGAATTACAGACTCTAATTCTAACCAACCTCTCAGGCACCGGCATCCCTCCTGATCGGGGGCGGGGGCGAGGACGCAGAGTTCGTGGCCGAAGTTGAAACCCCGGGGAACCTTATACGAGTACATGAAGTGAGGAGAAGGAAGGACGGTATTCGAGAACTCAAACGCCGCCTGGAAGACTCCAGGATCGAGAATTCAAACTTGGCAAGAGAGCTCCAGGGCTCACAGCATGAAAATTCCACCCTCGATAACCACCACCGGGAGGCACTTGGCCAGCTCGAGAAAGTTCAGGCCATGGAAAAAACCCATCGTGTAAAGCTTGAAGAGGCTGTCGAATACTGTAATAATCTCCATGCCAAGCACGAGAACCTTGTTACCAAGTATCGGGAAGTTGCAGCGACGAACAGGAACCAAAAGCAAGAGTTAACATTCATGAAGGAGACCAATACCAAGATCCGCACCGAATTGGAGACACGATCTGCCCAACTCAATAAATTTACAGCGGAAATTGCGCGCCAAAGCCAGCGAGTCAATACTTCGGCAATCCGAGACGATGAGTACTTTGCAAGAAAGTTCGCAGATCTTGCAAAGGATATACGCAATTGGTCGTTTACATACTTTTTTCCCCGCTCACAGACTTTTGATCCTACAGCAGTCACCAACGATCTCCAGGACGCCATTAGTGCGATCACAGGCGGTGTTAGCTTACGTGAGGTTTTCAAGAACCGCGCCACAGGCCGCAGAGTTGTTGCTGGACTGCTTGCCGATCAATTGAAAAAGCGAGTCCTCGACCCTTTGCTGTTGGATCTACTGCATGAGGAGTTCCTCGGTTTCGAAAATACGGTCGCAAAGACCGGTAAGTGAATCGGCCCTTTTACACAATCCCGACGTGCTGACTTGAAAAAAGGTACCGAAAAAAGCGCGTGGTTATCGCAAACGCTAAGTTTATTCGTCAAGAGCGAGCATTTCGAAGAGAAGCTGAGTAAAAAAGTCGGCATCTTATCCAGAGAGCTCAATGAAAAGCTAGGGGTATTGGCGCAGGAGTCCAGCGAATCCAAAGCTTCCAAACGCTGCCAAAAATTATTAGCCATAGTCCAACGAGCTGCCAATCTAGCAGTAGAAATTTCACAACAACCCTACTGGTTCCTCTTCTTCGCCCCCCTGCCCGGAAGCAAGTTTAACCCGCGCTTGATGGAAGATGTTGAGACAGAATTGTTTCTGGAGGAAGCCAATCCGGGCGCCCGTGAGGCCGATCGCACTGTCTCTATTCCTGTTTTTCCCAGTGTCGCCCGTCAAGAGCATGTTGAGGGAGGGCACAAACCTACCCACATTGTTATTAATAAGGCTTGGGTAACTCTCGAGACGGTGGATAGTCACACGGCTGTCGAGCAAAAGGATGCCGATATGGCGAGCGAACAGGCAAAGGTGGATGTGGAATCCGGTGGGAGATCTCCCAGCGGGTGTGACGGAGGTAGGGGAGAACTGGGAGCTCAAGGCGGAGATGGGAGTGAGGTTCTTCAGCACTCGGACATGCCGGCCACTGAAGTTGCACCCCCGGTATTACCACCCCAAAAATCGCCAGCGGTGGCGAGCCAACAGGAATATCTAGCAGTGGACGTAGACCTTGCTCGAAAAAAAATGGAAATGGTTTCTTTAACTTGATTGTATTGTCTCAATGATGTACAGTACTCTATTATCTTCATCTCTTTTATCATCATTCAGCTACATCGGGACAGAATCTGCCAACCCCTCTTGTAGAAATTTTAGTCGCTCAACTCTTAGAATCAAAACCAGGCCGGTGCACCGGTAGGCCCATATCCTATCTCCCAGCACTCTCAACTTCGGGCAACCGGTATCTAGGCCCCAGAAAACTGTGCCTATACACAGTACTAACAGCTGTCTAGGTGACCGAGGTAGCCTAAAGCCAAGCACACCCCATTCAACTCACGTACCCTCAACAGCATATCCCATGGACTACCGAGACTTACAGATTCCGGGCCTTCCAAATCTAGTTTATACACCTACTGGCAGTACAAGTACAAGTACTGGACAGTACAGTAATTAATTACCAAAATACGACGTCAGCTCAAGCCAATTGGACGGAAGCAAAGTGGCGTTACGATAAAGCAGTGTGAAGCCCTCTTTCAGCGGAAGGTCCGGAAGCTGATGTCTCACCAGCCCATGGGTAACACAAGTACAGTACAGTGCCAACAACAGCTCTCGTAGCAATTCCTCAGCCAGCGTGGATGTAGAGTTCCAGAGGCTCAGGGAGTAAAGTCTAGGAAATTATTTCACATATAGATGAAGATCTGGCTCGGATTGCCCGACCGGAACACCGGTCAATGTGAACAATACTATTTTCAGCGGAAAACCCCCATGTTACCCGCCTACACTAGCGCCAGACTTGTACTCGCAGTGCCGAAGCGCCTATAAACAGAGCCTCTGACGGATCAGACCCGGAAGCGGGTCAGAATGAGAAGGGGATCGGGTAAAACACACCAAAAAAATTTTAAATCTAGAAATCTCAATTGACATCCAATTGTAGGGAGAGGGAATTCAGGGTGTAAAAGATACTGGTTTTCCCGATAGCACAGGATGCTGGATTTTCCCTTCCCTGTTCTAAATTCAGAGTTCTTATTTTGGCGAAAGCTCTACGGCAAAGATTTGAGTAAAAAGTAGGGTAGGGTAGGATTTCGGTGGTACGATAAGGTAGGCAACAGTCCTTTCTAAAGACACTTGGACACTACGAGTATGATATGATACGGTAGAGTGTTCAAGCCCGTAAGTTAGGGCCCAGTAGACCAAACTCAGACCTCGTCAACCTCATTCACCGGTGTGCGAGTCTCCCAAAACCGCCAGGAAGCTTACCCAGCGACCCACTAAAACCAGCCCTATCAGCTCACCATCCTCAATTACAACCCAACCCGAACACTACCGGTTACCCCTCGCCAGCAAGCCATGTTAGGACCCTCACTTTCGGACCAGAAAAAATCTCCCCAAAAATAAAAACGGATCGCAGCTCACCACAATACTTTTAAACCCGTCAACACCACCATATCAGTGGGTGGTCGGGTGATCGAAGACCATCATGCAGTTAACTAGTGAGCAGGCGTGACTGGGTGCCTGCAGGGAGTCAAAGGGTAGATGAGGGTTCTGGGTTTTTTGTGTTGTTCAGTTGGTATGGTCAGCGGTAGGATCGGTTGCTGGCACCTCGGGGGGGCTTTGTAAGTGGACTTTGCCGATAATGACAAGGTGCGAGAGGCAGGGAACCAGGGTAGTGTTGTTGATTTTACACTTGTAGCCGGGCGCCGGTACTGTACCTGTACAGTACTCGAGTACTGTACTCGAGGAAATTGTGCTCCCTCCGTTCGAGTTCGAGGTATTAGATCGATCGATCGGAATGGGGAACGGGAGACTATTTTCTAACTAGTGCCGGATAGAACTGCCCCGCTACTGATTTTATAAATAATATTGCTACACCGCGAGAACCCCTGTGGTTCGTTATCACTAGGAGGACTCTATGATACTGGTATGGATTCAGAGAAGGAAAGCTTTTCACCTTTTCCTGCTCACTTGTGCTCTAGTACAGTACAAAAATTCCTTCGCTAGGGGATAGTTTACGGTAAGACGCGGTTCAATTATGATATACATTTTGAAGGGCACGAGCCATAACGGAGATGAAGGATGACCCTTCCCGAGCCCTAACCTGCCGGGAATAGTAGAATCCAAATGCCGGACGGGAAAATGGCAGATAAGGATTTCGTTATCTCCTCTGAGTGTAGAGTACTCATAGGGTAGTGACAGCAACATACCTGTAGGCTTTGTAATTCAAGCCCATCCCCGTAAAAAGGCTTATCACGCCTCGCCTCTTGTTCAAACGCGGGACACCAAGCCGCTGTATCGTGGAGGTACTTACCTACACCCGAATGGGAGCTGGTCGGGGTTCTGCATTGAACTTGGGGCTAGGATGAAGGCTATTCTAATGGCAAGGCTTGCCAGGAAACTTGAGCAAGGAATATGGCCACGGGCTTGGTATGTATTACCCATTTGGCGAAACGGCCTCCCCGTGTTCCCGTTGTCGCAGATGATAGTGTGGGGGAGTGCGAACGATAGTCCCGGAGCGCGGCAGTGCCAGCCACAGCATGACACTCGTTTACATGCCAGGTAAAGCTTAGGGCCTGAAGTACCGGGTGCCGGAGTACTCGCACAGCCGAGTTGAAGCCAGACACTTTGTATGGGAGTTGTCACCTTAGATGTCCGGCTCCAAAACGGCCGAGCGAGTGCAAGTACAGTACCCCGGGCGGGCACCGATAGGCGTAGTTGTTCATTAAGGTTAGCAGTCAAGAGCCGAATATGAAAGGCTGTATCATAAAACAAAGGTTTCAAGGGGGGTGGTTCCCTCACTGAAAACTTTCGCGCGCGGAAGTGCTAGATGTTTCCCATGCTTCTATCATAAGATAAAATTGTGCAGGAACGGGCGTTTTGTCTTCGCTGTCCATCACACTCGTTTCCCGGTAGAACACTACAGAAATTCTCCCCCAGCGGCAAATGAGGTGTACCAAGTACGAGAGGAGACTCTTTATTTTGGGAGATATACACCCCCATTTCTCCTGGTCGATATTCTAGAGAATAGTCCACTACGCGATATCTTCTCCCCCCTCGGGGAGGATAATATCCTACCCTGACACCCACAATCTCGAGGATCACGGAGTAGAAAATGAATAAACTGGCATGGCTAGAATACACCCAGCTCTAAATTTTCCCTTAGACAAAGCAATTATATCTTCGAAATGATAGTTACGAGTAAAATCTAAAAATCACGCCCGAGAAAGAAGCAATGCTTGATTTAGTTGGTGCAACGCCCCACTCCGGATTTTTCGATCCAGATTGTTACATATTTCCTTTGGCAGGTTTCAGGACCTGGTGAACTCTTCTTTTTTTTTAGTATTGCGGGGTTGGGGGTCTCCCACAGGTGTGTTGGCACTCCTTGATTACTCTCATGAGAGATGGTCCGATTTTACGCAGATTTGGATGATGGAGGTTCAATCTTTCAATCTTGCTGCCTCTTCCCTAACTGCCCTATCATATGATCCCACGGCCAAATTGTCCTTACGGCGTGTCTTTGACCCAAGGGTTAGTCCTCCCAAGCATTCTACACCCGCCTCGCTCAGGTAGCAAGGGGATGCCGCGGTATTCTCCCATACTGTTGGAACTCGGGCGACCAAATCCCGTGTTCACCGGGCAAAAGTTTCCTACTCTTGAAGAGGTGCGAAAGCTATCATAGTGTAAGAGCGAGCACTTAATGAATGCGTCCAAGGGGAACACAAAAGAGACAGAAAATGCCCTGAGCTTTACCAGCAGAGGCAACACCAACAACATAACATAATAGCACAGGATCGCATTACATTAGAGGAGTGCTTGTGATTTTAATGGAAGGTTGCCTTGGGGCTGGCTATCGACCTGCTTTTTACTTTTCACCCCCCCTCACAAACATTAGCGTTTGCCCCGGCCGGGTAAGCCCGCTCCTCCAGACTGCCTTCACCTCTGGATGGGCTAAGCCAGCCCCAGCCAGGATGTGAGGGGAAACAACCATACCTCTGTCCTTGTGTTAAAGTGCAGTTCTTACCCAGAGAGCAGTCCATTCGTCCTGAAGCTGTTTCGTACAGCAGTTAGTCCGGTCTTGGCAAGAATCTAGCCCCAACATATGGCGAAACAGCCGGGAAGGTGGGGGGCCTCATGATATAATAGGTTCTTTCCCGGATTGTGGGGTCCCGCACGGTGCCATCTGTGTTTGTTGGTACTTGTAACAGGGATCGTGTGCATGTATCACTGAACCCAAGCGGCAAGTGCGCCGGACCGGTCGCCATGAAACCAGGATATGGGCCGGACTCGGCGCTTGGGATCGCCGGTTAGCCATAGTCAAGCGCGGGGTTCACAAGCCGGTGACTTTGCTAGTGAGCGAAATAGTACTCGTACTATACTTGTAATAACGTGAGGCCCCCTAGCGCCTTTTTCATCATGCGAAGGCGTACTCGACGCACTTGCAATCCAAGCTAAACTAAAACGACAAGGGGGGAATTAAAAAGAAAAAAGAAAAAATCAGCACTTCTCCGCGCGGAGGTAACCGTTCCCCCTCATAGCTTATAATTAATCATCTTTGCAAGCCCCCCACAGTCCTCCACTTCCCCCGGGAGATACACAAAATCCCGTACCGTACAGTACAGTGTTGGGTAGAGACTTTTAACTTGCTACGTCCACATAGTGTGCAGCCAGTATCCCCGCGAAATGATGTCTCGTTTTGTTGAACCGCTGTACTCGTACTTTCCCCAAACTGCCGTCCTCCAAACCGTAGGACCAGAGACTGTAGATTGCGGTCCGCCCTGTTGGGCCTGCTTGGCAGCCGTCCCGGGGCCGTTCCAACTAGAACGTACGAGTACGAGTACAAGTACATTTAATCCGAGAATTCTCACACCAACGGTCCGGGGCCGCAATTGATCGAGTTTCCCTTGGCAATGGAGGGCACGTAAAAGCAACCAAGGTGCTGTTCCAGAACAAAAGATCAAGAGCCCCAGTCCTGTAGAGAGAGTAAGAACAGTAACAGGGGGGTGCTAGACGGAATCAGATATCATTCAAACGTGAAGATAAGTTAGATAACTGCAGAAGAGTCGATAGATCAGATATTTGACGCATTTAGTCCCCCCGCATGGCAGA